GTGTGCAGGTTTGTATCTCCACAAACTATTGCACAGTTTAGTTTAATAAATGTGCTCTGCTTGGGCTGCTGGAAACCTTCAATTCTAATGATTACAGAAACAATGGCAATTTCCTGTTTCTGGCCCAATATGTAAGGAGCTTGGAAGTTACTGCTCCCCTCTCAACAAGAAAAAAGCCGAATGAGCTGAAAATTAGCCATTCGTCTTAGATCAGGCAGAGAATTGAGGTCACAAGGAAACCACTGCCACAACAACTGGAGAGAGGGGAAATTCGGAGTGACAGTGAATCCCAACTGACCAGAGCAGAAATGTCTGCAGGACATGGAGGTAGAACCAGAGGAAGAAAAACCTAAACTGTAATTGACAAATTGCTGGAGGATCCATGTGAACAAGGTGGAGAGTGAAAAACAATGGCCCACACTAACTGTGTCCTTACCATGTTCTGGGAACTGTCTAAACATGTTACATCTATCAGGTTACTTATGTCTCCCAACAGCTTTATGAGGAGCCCATGTTACAGATAGAAAAACTGAGGTACAGGGAAGTTCAGTAAGTGGCTTGGTTAGTAAATGTCAGAGCCAGGATTTAAATCCAGGTGAACTGTCTCCAGGGCCTGCATTCTTGATAAGTACACTACATTTGCCTCATACCAGTTACCAATAGCCTCTCGGGCAAGGTCACATAAGCCAGTCATGTGTCATGTGACACAGACTCTGGGAAAACCGAGGACAACAGGACATTTACTCTCTACAAGAAGCACTCATTACTCATTAACTCTCACCATTAGGAACCACGCTTGCCCGTGACCCTAACCCAGTGCTTCTACATCTCCCCATCTCACCGCTGCCACAATTAAAAAGGTATATTCTCACCTCATGAAGGCCACCATAAAGCATCTCTATGTCAAATTTTCTTCTAATTTCATTCTTTAAGGCTCATCATGCTTTGTGCTAAGTTCTATATCCCTCCCAGGACAACTAGAGCCTAAAATATTGTCATCAGTGATGAATATGTGTTCTCCAGGTAAGGTGTATTGCTAGTAATTAAACAGTATTAATTCCATCAGCTTTGATTTATTCTGCTCTCTCAGTAATGAAGCTCAGTATTCTATTTTCTCTCTGCTTAGCACTGAGCAATAGAACTGGTGTTTAAGGATTATCATATAAATCTATTTTTTGGTCAGTCGGTGTTGGGGAATTTTTTCAATATATTACAAATGTATTCATTATTCCCTCATTCATAAAAATAATTAAAAGCTATGGCCGAACACAAATTCCCAGAGCACAAAAGCCTGACTGGCAGGCCACTGCCAAATTCCAAGGTTGCCAGCTTCTTAGTTCATGGGTTTCTTAATGAGAACTCATACCTTCTCATTCAATAAAGGGCTTAGGTGGACATTTCCTGCTGGTGTTCACAGGAGTTATAAAACTAAAGTCCTACATGTCAAAATGAAAATGGGCTTCTGTTATTTTTTGTATGCTCTTAGCAATTCAGAATTAACTTACCCTAAAATGAAAACTACCCCCCCCAAAAAAACCCACAATTCTTTAGAAGTGATGCCCGGGATGTTAATAACATGTGTTCACATTCTCTTAAAATAATAAATAAATAAATAAATAGATAGATAAATAAATAAATAAATACAAACAAGGGAGGAAGGTAGAGAGAAAGAAATACGAGTAGATCCAATCCATCATTGTGATATCCAAGTCTCTCCTTAGATAAAACAGACATAAAACATCTACTTTACAAGCCTCAGATGACCTTCAAGACAGCTGAGTACAGCATCTATGGATTTTTAAGTATAATTAACAACTCCTGTTTTTCCATTTAAAGAATCGGAGTTCTGTTTCCTTGACAGGCAAAAGCCAATCCATCTTGTTTTCAAATGCTAATACAAGCAATTACAAATAACGTTAATTAAAATACTACAGGAGCTGTTAGATTTTGGGTGGTGGAGATTTTTTTCTTCACCTAAACTCATGATGATTCTAATTTGCAGGACGAATTGAGGAAGCACCCTTGGTTTGATCTGTTTTTGGGACAAAGAGCTGGCCGTTGAAACCCAGCCGAGAGGTGCAGAAAGCCCCTGCTCTGTGAGGAACCCCGGGCATGCTGCAGCAACAATGCTTATTTCACCTGGTAGACCAAAGGTGACAGATCATTTTATTAACAGCGTGAATATTAATTTTCTGGTTTTGGTAGTGAAAATACAGTGCTCATTTGTATTGTTGTAAAACTTGTAAATATGCCCTGTAGGATAAATAATATTCAAAACAACATCCTAATTAAAAGGAAAACTCAGTTGTCTTGCAAGATAATATAAGGAGGGCACATAAATTGTAAATAAGATACATGGTAAAAATGAAAAAGGCTGGATAGGAGAGGAATGAAATAAGATTTGGAAATGTGCTTTTTAAATGCACACAAATTGTGAGATAATGTCTCATTGAACAATAAAAATAACAAAACAGTGGCAAAGATGTAACAGAATTTCCTATGTACACCATTTTAATCTTAATGTAATTTTCCCCAGTGCACCCACATTTATTGAACTACTACAACCATTTCTTTCTCACTCTGTCCAAAGTTACCAAGACAGTGTTCTTTGCTGTAAATAATTCCCTGATTATGAACATGAAAATGATCTAGAAATTGACCACAGTGTTTTTTAAAAATGACACAGTGTTGCTCAGGGCCAAAGGCCTTACGGGAATGGCAAAGAATGGGTAGTTTCCTCAGAGAAACAGAATGAGAACACAGAAAAACATTTCCCCACTTCCTCCTCCATAAGGCAACCCCACACTTTTGTTGTTCTTGTTTTTTTTTTTTTCCTTTATTCAAAAGAAGGGGAAAAGACTTCTATGGCACCTGGGCCTACAGTGTGCTAGACAGACCACAGAGCTGATGCCAAAGAAGTTCTGGATTTGGCAGACAAGATAATATGACTTGAGGAAAATCCACATCAGTGCATCCTCAGTTTCTCAATCTGCAAAATGGGGGTGATAATATTTACCTCTTAGCTTCAAGCATGATACACAAATGAATGTTGAGTAAATACTACTCAAATATGAAGGTGAGGGTCCAAATTAGATATATGTGAAAGGTTTGCTAATGTGGACACATTACATCCAGAAGAAGCCCTCCATCTACTACTGACCCCAACTGAGGAAGCTCAGTAAAATGTTCAACTCCAATCCAACCCCATATATATCTCAGACATGTGTAGATGTCTTACACTCACATAGGTCATTCAATCCATGTATATATTTCCTAGGTGTCATCAATGTTCTTATAGATCTTAAACTTTAAAAAAATACCCCAAAGTTCCTCAAACAGTTGAAAATAGAGCTACCATACGATCCAGCAATTGCACTACTGGGTATTTACCACAAAGATACAAATGTAGGGATCCGAAGGGGTACATGCACCCCGATGTTTATAGCAGCAACGTCCACAATAGCCAAACTGTGGAAAGAGCCAAGATGTCCATCGACAGATGAATGGATAAAGAAGGTGTGGTATAGATATACAATGGAATATTATGCAGCCATAAAAAGGAATGAGATCTTGCCATTTGCAACGACGTGGATGGAACTGGAGGGTGTTATGCTGAGTGAAATAAGTCAATCAGAGAAAGACATGTATCATATGAGCTCACTGATATGAGGAATTCTTAATCTCAGGAAACAAACTGAGGGTTGCTGGAGTGGTGGGGGGTGGGAGGGATTGGATGCCTGGGTGATAGACATTGGGGAGGGTACGTGCTATGGTGAGTGCTGTGAATTGTACAAGACTGTTGAATCACAGATCTGTACTTCTGAAACAAATAATGCAATATATGTTAAGAAAAAAAAAGAAGAAGATAGCAGGAGGGGAAGAATGAAGGGGAGTAAGTCAGAGGGGGAGATGAACCATGAGAGACGATGGACTCTGAAAAACAAACTGAGGGTTCTAGAGGGGAGGGGGTGGGGGGATGGGTTAGCCTGGTGATGGGTATTAAAGAGGGCACATTCTGCGTGGAGCACTGGGTGTTATGCACAAACAATGAATCATGGAACATTATATCAAAAACTAATGATGTAATGTATGGTGATTAACATAACAATAAAAAATTTTAAAAAAATTGATAAACCTCTAGCTAGACTTATCAAGAAAAAAGAGGACTCAAATAAAAAAAAAATACCCCTAAGTAGAGACTATGTCCTGCTTATTATTTTGCCTTTCATTGGTGTCACTCTGGAGTAGGAATTCTGTTTCTGCTAAACAACCACTCAAATACTTTTTCTTCCATTCACAGTTTAATTTGTTTTATTAATTTATTATTTTTCAAAAATAATTCCTCAGGCAAGAGAAAGACATACTTGTTCGTGCATAAAGAAAATGTGCCAAATTCATCAACAAATCCATTTTATTAAATGTGTCATCAATTAATCCCTTTGTTGAATAGAATGCATAACTATATGTGACTAACTTTTAATTTTGATTTTTTTATACTAAACAGTAGAAGAATTTTGGACCACATGCAAATGGATCCACAAAGCAAACAATAGCTGACATAACCAGAAAAACTAGGCTCATAAACAAGTATTCTTATAATACATGGTCCTGCTATTAGGGCTGCAAACTATGAGCATACTATCTTTGTAAATTCTGCATTATTTTCTTCTAGAAAAATTCTAAGGATTTAAATTGAAGTTTTCAAGTCTATCTGATTTCTTAATATAAAAATCAATTTCAGTGGTTTTCTATTCTTTTTTTTTTTTAAGATTTTATTTATTTGAGAGAAAGAGAATGAGTCTCGTTGATCCAAATGTAAATAGAGTAAAGGCCATCATTAAATATATCCCCAGGCATTCCATATTCAGACTTCATAATCACGGATCAGCTGGTAGGAGATGATTACAAAGGCAATTTCAGATTGTCTAAAGGACCACCAAAGCAGATTTCTTTTCCAAAACCGGAGGCCTCTTCTCCAAGAGACATGGGCCAGCCATCTTTTATGGATGTTCTTCTAGGCCATTGTTTTGGATGATCTTGGCATACTCCTTGGCTGATGTGTAAGGCACTCGAGGTGTCTAGAAGGATCCTCAAAATCAACATGGAAGAAACCAAACCGGCTGCTATACCCTTGGATCCACTCAAAGTTATCCAGAAGAGACCATGCACAATATATTTTGCAATTGACTTTATCAAGCTGGATAGCTAATTTAAAAAAAAAAAAAAATGAGAGAAAAGAAAAGAAAAAAAAGGAGGAAAATTATCATCTCTGGGAAGTTTTTCTGTGAACATACAAAAATTGCTGACAACTAGTTGGGTATCTTTCTCTTACAGAGGATCACAGAAAAAAAACTTGCGATGCTCTTTTCCAATTTTCTCTTTTAATCAAGTAGGAGTTCCATTCAAGAACTTCACTTACATATCATTCTAATTATTTGATTATTCATTCATTTTGATATATGTTTTATTCATCCATTCATTTACTCAATACATATCTTTTTCAATATCTACTACTTTTCAGACACAAAGAAACACACATACACACAGTTTCTCCCTAGTACTTAGAATTATATTCATTAAAGACCCTGCTCAGCTCTCACTCTCCATAGATGACATGATACTCTATGTGGAAAACCTAAAAGACTCCACCCAAAAATTGCTAGAACTCATATAGGAATTCAGCAACGTGGCAGGATATAAAATCAATGCACAGAAATCAGTTATATTATATACACTAACAATGAGACAGAAGAAAGAAAAATTAAGGTATCTATCCCATTTACAATTGCCTCAAAAATCATAAGATACCTAGGAATAAACCTCATCAAAGAGGAAAAGGATCTGTACTCTGAAAACTATAGAACACTTATGAAAGAAATTGAGGAAGACACAAAGAGATGGAAAAACATTCCATGCTCATGGATTGAGAGAACAGATATTGTTAAACAGTCTATGTTACCTGGAGTAATCTATACATTCAATGCAATCCCTATCAAAATACCATCAACTTTTTTTACAGAGCTGGAACAAATAATCCTAATATTTGCATGAAAAGACCCCAAATAGCCATAGGAATGTTGAAAAAGAAAACCAAAGCTAGTGGCATCACAATTCAGATTTCAAGCTATATTATAAAGCTGTAATCATCAAGACAGTATGGTACTGGCACAAAAACAGACACATAGATCAAAGGAACAGAATAGAGACCCCAGAAATGGACCCTCAACTCTATGGTCAACTACTCTTTGACTATACAGGAAAGAATATCCAATGGAAAAAAAAGACAGTATCTTTAACAAATGGTGTTGGGAAAACTGGACAACCACATGCAGAAGAATGAAACTGGACCATTTTTTTGCACCATACAAGAAAAGAAACTCAAAATAGATAAAGTCCTAAATGTGAGACAGGAATCCATCAAAATCCTAGAGGAGAACACAGGCAGCAACCTCTGTGACCTCGGCTGCAGCAACTTCTTCCTAGACACATCTCCAAAGGCAAGGGAGACAAAAGAAAAACGAACTTTTGCTACTTCATTAAGATAATAAGCTTTTGCACAGCAAAGGAACAGTCTACAAAACCAAAAGACAACCTACAGAAATGGAGAAGATATTTGTAAATGTCTTATCAGATAAAGGGCTAGTATCCAAGATCTACAAAGAACTTATCAAACTCCACACCCAAAAAACAAATAATCCAGTCAAGAAATGGGCAGAAAACATGAACAGACATTTCTCCAAAGAAGACATACAAATGGCCAACAGACGTATAGAAAAATGCTCAGCATCACTCAGCGTCAGGGAAGTACAAATCAAAACCACAAAGGGTACCACCTCACACCAGTCAGAATGGCTAAAATTAACAAGTCAGGAAACAACAAATGTTGACCAGGATGCGGAGAAAGGGGAACTCTCTTACACTGCTGGTGGGAATGCAAGCTGGTGCAGCCACTCTGGAAAACAGTGTGGAGTTTCCTCGAAAAGTGAAAACTAGAGCTACCCTATGACCCAGCAATTACACTACTGGGTATTTACCCCAAAGATACAGATGTAGTGAAAAGAAGGGGCACATGCACCCCAATATTCATAGCAGCAACATCCACAATAGCCAAACTATAGAAAGAGCCCAGATGTACATCAACAGATGAATGGATAAAGATGTGGTATATACCTACACACACACAAACACAAACACACACACACACACACACACACACACACACGTACACACTGGAATATTACTCAGCCATCAAAAAAATGAAATCTCACCATTTGCAATGACGTGGTGGAACTAGAGGGTATTGTGCTAAGAGAAATAAATCAATCAGAGAAAGACAATTATATGATTTCACTCATATGTGGAATTTAAGAAGCAAAACAGAGGATCATAAGAGAAGGGAGGGAAAAATAAGACAAAAGCAGAGAGGGAGACAAACTATGAGACTCTTAACTATAGGGAACAAACTGAGGGTTGCTGGAGGGGGAATGGTTGGGGGCTGGGGTAAATGCATATTGGGCATTAAGGAGGACACATGATGTAATGAGCACTGGGTGCTATATGCAACGGATGAATCACTGAACTATACCTCTGAAATTTATATTACACTGTATGTTAAGTAACTGAATTTAAATAAAATAAAATTTAAAAATAAATAAATAATAAAATATTCTTAAAAAAAGAAAGAAAGAAAAGACATTGCTCAGCTTCTAAGTGCAACCTCCAGATAATCCAGAAAGTCCACTAGTAAGTAAGTTGAAAGAGGTGGTAATACTAAGGCTGAGGCAGCTCCAGCTATTACCTTGTGTCCCTATGACCAAACTGAGCCATGTATTATAATTCTGGAAATAGGACCCTAAAGTGAAAAGGATCAACATACAGCTCTGGTTGTACATATATCTTAGAGTAGGCACAAAATGTTATGGCATCCCCTCTGCCCAACATCTAAACTCAGAGTGGCGTTTAAACCCCTGAAGAGCCAAAGCAATGGGCCATCTCTCCCCCAAATACACATATGCACATACACAATATTCTATATGATTTCATTTGTGGATACCCCAAAGCCTATCCATGGACTGCTATAGTAAGATGTCAAAATGTGGAGAATTTTCTAAGTAGTTTTACACTGATTTCCATCATGTTAGTCAGGGAATTTAACTCATTTTTTAGTATTTTAAGCATTTTAATAAGGATTATTTTAGCATTAATATTTAGTAATTAGTATTTTAATTTAATATTTCAAGTATGGCAAAAAACAAAACAAAACTCGGGCTTGCATGAATTGTTGCATTGAGCATTTCTTTTAAAACCAGAATAAGTAAATTCTACATATGGGATGCACTAATATCTATTTCCCAATGCAGAAATTAAATAAAAAGACATGTTTCCTTTACAAGATAGACATATTCCTAAATAAATTGGGTGAAAATGAACATTCATATGATATACTAAATTTTAACAATATTAGGGATCATTCTCAACCACAATGACTCTTTTATCATTAGCAAAGCAAGATCTACTCTACTTTTTTCATTGTAAATCTGTATTTTGGGGGTCTTTTAGAGGAACTATAACAATAAACTACGACATATGTGTACATTCTGAATCATCTTGGAATTTCTTTTTTTCTTTTTTTTTTGACTATGGATACTCCAGAGACAAAAGGTTCCTGAGCAGTTAATTGATACCTAATCCCTCTGCCTTTGTGCATGGAGGCATGCAAAGTACTATACTTAGTGCCTTATGAATGGCCTCGAGGCAGGAATTAAGCCAAGCTAGATTGGCTCTTTTTAAATAAAGTATGGTTGGAAAATGGAATATATAACATTCAAGCACATCAAGTTTTGCAGGAATTAAAACATGTATAGATACTCCTTCTTCTACTTGTCCACATTGCCATTTGTGTCTCCTCCCCTCTCTGTCAACCACAACTACAAAATACCAATTTTTAAAAATAATTTTATAACTAACTTAAGTTCTGCATGGCATATATCTAAGAATTAAAATAACCAAAACCAAGTACTAGGTCAGAAAATAGCCATCGCCTTTGACTGCCTTAGAATTCAGTCTGGGGACATGGGAGAATCTGCATAGTTTTTTTCTCATTTGCAGAACTACTGCCCAACGTGAAAGCCTGCTGGGTAGAAAGCTAGACAGCTTCTGCAAACACGCACAGTCCCACAGAACATGCACAAAGGATTGATTCATATGCTCAACCAGGGGATAAAAACGATCCCTTGCCTGCTTGCAAGGGAACAAAAGGGAAATGCTGACAAGTTCATTGATAACTGCCAGGAGTTCAGCAGCAGGTACTAAAGTGCCCCAGTGATCCTGGTGGGTGTCTCTGTGTTTTCATTGCAGGACCATTCAAATAGAGAATTACGTGGTTAGGGCTGAGGAGCTGGCCTGCTGGAATCCTTCTCGTTGTGCTACCACCGGGAAAAATGACAAAACTGTGCTAGAGCCTGCATGCCTCGCCTCTTCCAATCTCAAGAACAGAAAGAGACCATCATCACATTTCTTGTCAGTGTGATTTATGAGGTCCCAAATCTGAGAAGGGAAAAAATCACTTCTGTGAGTTCTCTTTCTTTCTTGAACCAGAGTTTGCAGGCAAAGTAAACACAGACTGGCAGGGACTATGGATGGGTACAAAACACACTGGGATAAAAATGACAAACATACAGAGCCAGAGTTTGGTTTTGGACTCAAAGGCCAGTGGAAAAGGCCTCACAGTCAGCAGTTTGCATATAAAGATGCAAGGAGAAAAATGTCTAAGCCTTGCTAATATATCAAAGTCTTAGGCTGTTCTAATTAGAAGAACCCTGTGCCAGTGTCCATTTAGTCCAAACTAAATGGACACACACACACACACACACACACACACACCCCACACACACACACTGCTCAGTTTTAGCCAAACTGAGAAGGTTGAGGGAATAGTCTTTCATCAGACCACCCTCATTTCTGACAAAACTACAAGTTCAAGGGGTTCCCCAAACCACCCTCAGTTTCAATAATTTCCTAGAAGAACTGACAGAACTCTCTGAAACCTGTTATACTCATAGTTGTGGCTTATTACGGCAAGGGATACAAGTTAACATCAGCCAAAGGAAGAGATGGATAGGTCAGCGACAGAGGGGCTCCAAACATGAAGCTTCAATCATCCCCTCCCCTAGGAGTCCTGGGATAGACATGTGACAATGCACAGA